TTTTTTCTATTCATGTCACAACTTCAAATGCTATAAGGAGTATTTAAAGTAATACTTACCTATTAGCTTACAAAAACAAAAATGTATTAATGTCACAACTCACAACAGACTAAAAAGTATGTATATACTATATAGTCTAATAGCTAAATTCAGTTGTATCAAATTGTTTTTATACGTTTTTATACAAAGTTTCTACCTTCAGTTTATTGAGATTTAAAATTATGTAAATTCTAAATCATTTTTTTTTTCGCTCTAAACAATCTATACTATTATTTTATAATAAGTATATATTTTGGGATTTTGACTATTATACATTTTGACTGGTAAATCGTGGAAAAGAAGTTAGTGAATCGTCCGCAAAACTATGTAAAGTTAAATAATTAATATATCTACCTATATAAGTTATATACTAAATTTGAAATCTGATTAAAACTAGTTTCCGGATGTACTTCACATTTTTAGAAATAAAAATAATTTTACTCCTCATAGTTTATGTAGGTACATTATACGTATTTACCTATAGTAACACAATGATGTTTAAAATAATTGGTACGTAAACCTAATACAATTATTAACAATTATTTTTGAAGAACACTGCATAATATACTAAATTTGTGATCCCTATTGCGCCCCTTTTATATACCTAATTTCACAACGCTACTATCTGCAGACATCACTTTTATATTATAGTGTTATACTAATCGCCAATTTAAATAAAATACCAGCATTTCAGGACTTCAATTGGTAGACAAAAAATAAACAAAAACCAAATAAGAAAAAGTACGTTGAAAAGCGAGAGTACGTACACTCTATAGTGAGAGTACTATATAGTAACTAACTCTCATGATGGCTATGGCGAACACATGCGTTGAAACATAATAATAAATGAACAAGCTGTCTAAATACGTATAGGGTAGGGAGCCATACGGGCTACAACTATTATATTGACTTATTAAACAGTACCGCTCTTTCCTGCTGGCTTCCGTTTAAAATACATTAATCTGGGAGATTTTTTCAAAAATGACCAATATTCCATTTAAGGAACACGGGCTTACGGTGTTATATAAAACAAAATTTGGGGTAATACATATATTCTATATAAATGTAAAATTAAATAATAACATATGTACCTATAGCATATTGCATATGTATTACAGGTGAAGTGTATGATTGAGATTTATATACTTAAACTAAAAAAACAATTAAGCAACGGATTACGGATATATGAATTTAGATTTTAATAGCTGATAGTCGGCTAATATAATACAGGTATTATTAGTAGACTTACCTTATTTAAATGACTGTATAATGCATAGTATATGCAAATCCACAGTTACTAATTGGCACCAAATTTTACACACATACTATGTGGAATCTCGGGAGACTATAAGAATAGACGCCACGGATAACGGCTATTAAATATAAAAATCTGAGTATATAGTATGAAAAATGGCCAGAGGATTAAAATCAAAAAAAAATCAAACAATTGTGACGATTCAAGGAATGATTTATTTTAGGGTGGTTTACACCCTGTAATAATATTAACATTATAACTGCATATTAATCATTGCATATTTGCTTGGAATTGATTAACGCAAGAGAAAATAATTATTTGTTATTATCAGCCACGGGTATGGACATTGGGTGGTAATTCGAGACACGTTTGACCTTTGGGTGCACTTTAGTGTACTCGAATTGCCTCCGAAATCCCCGAAAGGCTGAAATTCGTGTGCTCCCAAATATATTGATGTTACGTTAAAGTAAGTTTTATAAAATCTGTTTTATGCTGTATATTGTATAATTGTATAGGTATACAATAAATAAATGTTTACTTCAAACCTTAGGGTTTAACACTTTAATGCTTACCTATATATTTTGTACTTTTACATTCTTATTTTAATCATATAAATCTCAGACGGCGGCGTAATGTGTAGGCAATTTGGCGTCATTAGTTTATTATAATATGAAATATTATTTTCATGGTAACAACGACGCCTCTTGAAATTTTCATTGGATACTTTGTGAGTCACACTTCCAGAGGTGAATAAATTGGTGAAATTATCCAGATGGATAATTCGAAGCGGTCACAATAACCAATTAGATTCTGAACAGAGCGTTGAATGTACCTATTGGTTTCACAATTTATATTAGGTTTTTTTTATTTCCATCTTAATATTTTCAGATAATTAGCAAAAAAAATAATTAATTGACAATTTCCAAGACTTTCCAGAATTTCTACGAAATCAAAAGTCAGGAAATTACTCCAGGAACTTGAATGTTTCACAATACAATAATACATTTATATTAATATTTCTTCGATATCATAAAATATTCAAAATATTTTGGCTCTTTTTGCAATGCTATTTCTAAACATAGAAACTCAAGAATAATATTTTTAAATTACAACAAAATAACTAAAATCATTATTATTCGTTTTAATATCTAATATTCTTCAAATTTAAACTTAAAATATCTATAAAAACAACTACTGTGCTCATATATTCTTTAGATTTTTGATTATAGTATGAACTAGTAATAAAAAAATTATTTTAAATTTTCCAACCTTAGCTATTTAAATTGAACATTTTATAAATTTTGAACAACAAAACAATTTGGGAATTTTTGTGATTTTCATGAATTTTTTCGACATTTTAACTTTAAATGCTTCAAAAAAAAAAAAAAATCATTGTATCTATGTATTTTTAATATTTTTTCAACTACTATTATAACAACTTATAAGGAATATTGTATTACTTTTTTAAATCTTAAGTATAAATAGAATATATTAATTTATGAATTTCTAACTCAAAATGATTTTGTGATTTTGACGTGTTTTTCAAAGATCTTTCTTCAGACGATCATAAAATGTATATTGTGGATTTAGTATTTACTCAACTTTTTTCCCTAACAGAATTTTATACGGATTCTTGTATTAATATATTTTCAAGTTTTCTGACCAAACAAAAATTTATTTATTGACAATAAAAAAAAAAATTGATATTTGGCTATAAACAGCTCAAAAAGATTAAAAGTATTTTTAAGCCATATAATGGTGTACACAAAATGCTAATCTAAATATTCGGTGAAACTTCCATGTACTTATCTAAAGTTATTTTTAGATTCTGAGCGAAACGATGAACGTATTGATTTTACAATGTGTGTTTTTTTAATTTTAATTTTTTTTTCTCGAAAAATGTTTTGATCTTGTAAGTATCTTGTTCGATAGGAAAGTGAATTGAGTTGGTGCATTAGGGATTTCAACATTTAAAATTCCTAGTAATTTTTAAAAACGCTGAGAAAAACAAATAAATTAAGGAAAAACATGAATTTTTAAATTTTAGATACATGACATTTTCATTGGTTGTTTATATTAACATTTTATATTTGAACAATGTTAATTTAAAACAGCTCCTGGTTTTAATGTTTATTTTGACTAAGTTTGTTATAATTTATAAATAACCTAATCCATATTATGCAAATTAGTATTCATAGTTTTGCATACAATTCTTGTTCCCCAATTTATTATTCTTATTCTAATTGTCTGTATTGTATTCCTTAATAACGGTGAATTCTATTAAATTCAACAATTTTTGAATACATAATCTAGTAGGTATCTAGAATCTACCATAAATTATAACATTCACAACGCCAACTGTAAATACACTACACCAATAGGCAATAATTCAATACATTATCAAGGAGTATCAATTTATGGTTTTCTATTATAAAATTCAGAAATTACAGTTGAGGATAGTAAAGATTTAGCATGCAGCGTCCTAAGTGCTCTTCTTTAATTATGGTCCCTTGGAGCTTATTAATGAAGAACCCCATGCCCCCCCCATAGTATAAGGACCTATTATCCTACAAGACAGTAGGCCAGTGGGCCAGTCCGCCCCCGTATACAAAATATCACATACAAATACAAATACCGTAGGTAGGTACTTAGGTGCAAAGTTTTATCGTATTATGTCTTAAATTTTACTTCGGTATACCTATTGCATTTTCACATTATTTTTATGTAAATCGTTAGTCTTGTAATGACTTAAAAATACGATAAATATAAAAACGACTCCTGTCGATAGTTATATTAAAACAGTAAAATTAAACTATTACCTTCCTCCAGGTGTTAGGAGGGCTCTCGAGATCGTGTATTCGAAAATTAAATCAAATACACCGTACAATATAATCAGTGATGGGAAAGAACGCGTTCATATTGTGTGAACTTGCCATGAACGAGTTCGATTTTCAATAAATGAACTTGAACGTGAACTAAATTCTTATTAAATTATGATTTTGAACGTTTTGGGTTTCTCATTGACAATTTAATTTTCATAAAACAGGAGATAGGATAACGTTTTGAAATGTTTTGTAGCCGATCAGGTTCCTTCTAGTTCATAGTTTAAACCTCGGTTACTCCATGTTACGCCTAACCCACTGAACCCAGACTCCCCCAGACCCATACTGGCTATACTAAATATATTGATTATTGGGCCTCGGCGCCCAACACCACAGATAAATTATAAATTAATAATTTATATTTAAATATTTTTATGTAGGTATCTGTGTTAATCCTAGTTCAAATACGACGTTTTGTAAAGTTGTAAAGTGTAAATATAATTAATTAAAGTGATAAGTACTATCTACATTCTACGCCTTTACGATTGTAGATAGTACTTATCACTGTTATAATAATTTATTATTATTAACATACTATTGTCTATTATACTATAGAGTTTAGGCTATAGTAGTTATGGGTAGCTTATTATTTATTACTCTGTAGTATTTTACTTAGTATGTTTATGTTATTAATTTTGAAGTTTTGCATAATTATAAATATTAGTTATTTATTGAAGTTATAAAATTGTAAATTATAAAACAATAAAGCTTATATTTTTATGCATAATCAGTCAAGACTTATATTTTTAAGTGTTAATTGATATTTAATGTTTTCAGTTTAATAAATAAATTTAATTTTTAGTTTCAAGGACCTTTATTATATAATGGGTGGTAAAAAAGCACCATCGTATGTATTTATTATTCATCTTTTATCAGAATAATTATTTTAAGTGTTTTTTTCTTTATAGTAAAAATCGAGTATATGAAAAAGAACGCAGAGATCGTTTGAATGTTAGCTTTGAAGAATTGCGAACTGTTCTTCCACCATCAGACTCTAATGCTTCATTAGGTAAAGCTGACATTATTAACCATGCAATAGATTTAATTCGTGTCTTACAAAATGAAAAGCTGAAGACATCAAGTATGCATAGTAAGTATGATTTTTTGCAACTATACTGGTAAATATGTCATTCATCTTAAATCTAAATTATATTTTCTTATCTTAGGAAAGGAAATAATTCGCTTACAAAATAAAGTATCCCATTTATGCACAAGAATCAAAAACCTAATATCCACTTTAAAAGAATCAAAAATTAAAGTACCAAAAGATAGATCTATTAAAAAGATGAGTATTCAAAATAGATCAAAAACTAAACCTAAAAAAGATACTGGTGTCAGAAATATTAATATAAAAAAGTGTAAAAACAAACAAAAGTTAGCTCAAAAAGTAAGACCTATTACTTTAGCTACTAAACCTGTTAATATACCAGTTTTAACTTCAACTAACCCTACATTTATTTTACCCAATGGACATTTGATCAAAATTGATACTGCACCTATTATACCTCAGTCACAGATCATATTTGATATACCCAAAATACTTTTGTTACCTGATTATAAAAATTCAGAGATATTAATTGCTCCAAAAAAGAATGATGCAACTATTACTACATCTATGAACAAGAGACCTATACCATCATTAGTAACATACAACAGATTATTAAAAGAAACTAAATTTTTGAAGGATAGTAAAGTAGAAATAGCTAACAATAAAAAACTAAATAGTAAATCTGAAAATAAAAATGAATCCAATAATATACAAAAAGTTGAAAAAAACATAAACAAAAGTAAAATAGAAGAAAGTGATAAACTTAGGTGTACAGAACCAGTAAAATCAAATGATAATAGAGGTACAACAACAAGTCACACAATTGAAGCTATAGTGAAGGACATCAATCAAGATAAAAATGAAAAATCTATTGAAAGAGAAGAAATTGTAACAAGTATGACGATTTGTGATGGAAATAAAAATACATTAAAATCCATTGAAACAGATAATAATAAAATAACAACTAATTCGCCAGAGTGTTTAACAACGGCTCAAACTACATCTACTGTTGGTAATCCATTAAGTATATTAACGGAAGAAAATCAAAGAAAATCTATAGAAACAGCAAAAAACATTATCTCTTGTTTTGATGACATACGGTTACCAATACCAAATACAGATTTTTCTACAGATTTGTTTAGTTCTCTTCAGGGGCCAGTTGGAGGGCATCACGCAGACTCCATGTCTCCTACAGAAGCTTTTCTTCTTTCATTTCCCCTGGTTTCGACTTCAAAAAACACTAATATATTAAACGAATCTGAACAAACTGAAATGCATTCGGCTACACCCACAACAATATTGCAAATTGGTAACTTGGAATCACCAGCTACAGAATTATTCCAGAAAAATGATGATGATTGTGAAAAGGATCAAAATAAAGATAAAATGAAAGATCAATTTGGTTTTAATGTCAAACCATTCTATAATGATGGATATATAGACATTAGTAAAAAGAATGATCAACACTATGGTTATAAAGAGGTTAAGAAATTAAAACCAATACCTCCACCTCAACCAACTGCTTCCACTTACCATAAGACATCTTATAATGAGATTTCTTCTTATTATAGAACCACTCAATCAAATTCTGATCTTTGGAGGTATACTAGTTATAATTCGTTTGATAAAAATCTTAATAAAAATATTAAAAAGACTGATAAATCTACATCTACAGCATTTGTAAACAATGTTCCTTATGTAGTACCATATGACCTAAATACAGTAAATTCAACTAATACAACTACATATATTGATACTGAAAACTATCAAGAAGTTTGGCCACACAAACCAAAACAGAAAAAGAAACAAAATGAAAAGAGTGTTCCAGTTAACTGGATGACAGATAAAGGATGTCAAAATTCTTATGCAAAAAAAGATGACTATAGCTATCAAAAGAAAAACAACTTTGATATGTCTTTTGATTTACAGTCTGAACCTAAACAAACATATTCATGGTCACCATCTAAAACGATCCCATTATTACCTCATTTGGATACTAACATGCCTTCAACATTACCGACTCTAGTAGGCGATTTAGCTTTGAATATTAATACAGGTTCTAATACTCCATTTGATCAGAGAGTATATGAATGCAACAAAAAAAGTGACAATATAATCCCTGTTACAAGTAGTGAGCAAAATATGCTCAATTATAAATCTCGTTCTGTTAATTCAAATTTCCTATCCGTCAGTCAGTTAGTAGAACAACCTAAGTCAAATGATAAACGAAAAGGTAGAAATTGTGCTAAGGATTATTGTTGTGTGTACCAAAACCAGAAAACAGATAAAGATTATTATCAAAATCAAACTAAACAATATTACCCTGAGATTAATACATTTGAACAAGATCAGTCTTGGGTACGATCAAAATATTCACACGATTCTAGTAGATCAACAAATCACAGTGCTGAATCTTTAATTAGGCATCAACAAAAACATGGTTCTATAATAAAATCAGGTTCAAAAAACCAAAATGTAACTAATAAACAAACTACCTGTTATAGAACAAGCCAAAAACCAAGTTATAATAACAATGAAAATTTTGTCAATTATTATAATCAACCCAATACTAATTATCTATATGAGAATAGAAATGATTTAGACAAACAACCATCTTCATATCAAATACCATCTAATTTCTATACTCCTCCGACAACTACGAAGCATAACATTTCAAATTATATACCTCTACCTACAACATTTAGCATGACAAGTTCAAGTTACAATAAGCCAGTTCAACATTTTACCCAGAACACTAATAACTATTATAACAGCAGTAGCAATGTGAACACTTTAACAAACTTCAATTTAAGTACTATATTTCCAGAAATGATTGATAAGGTAAATTTTGGTTATTATTTATTACTTAGTGGCATAAGCGTGCGTATCAGGTAGTTAAAGCAGGCTCTAGAGTCTTGACCTCTCTGCAGCAGTGAATTTTTTTTGTTATTTCAATGATTATCGTTAATAATAGTGTTTTACTGTTGTGTGTAATAATATGACAGTCATAAATTATAATTTATCTTATATATCCTTTTTTTTTGGTACAGGACACACTCTTGTGAGTAGAATAATACTACTAGTTGCCAGTATAGTGTAGTAGGTATCATAATTAATATTAAATGTTCCCCTTTGGCCCCTCCTGAAATGTTGAATAACTGTTCGACCAGAATTTAAATTTAGACATGAATTCTTATATTATCTAAGACTACCATGCCAATTATATCTGCGCACGCTGATGCTTATTATATATGCTTATAATAATTACTATAATTATATTTTTAGGAACCCAATATAACACCTTTAGGCGCACCAAGTAAAAATAATGAATTTGATGTTATGAATAATTATGGAACCAATATACATTCATCTTATTAACTGAGAAATGTAGGTAAGTTTTAATTGATTTAATATTTATTTTCTAATTGAAATGCTACGAAGTCTATTGGAGACTATTCAGTATTTACAAAGTATCATAATATTTGTTTGCTTCTATACTCTGTTCATGTTTATCCACTCAGCCAACATAAAACGGTCTCCGTATTACAGGTCCCCCTCCCCACAATATACTGCGGCAGCCTTTGAAATTGAGGAGTAACATTGAATTGCCGACTAACGGTGATCAATCATAGAGAACCTGGCATCGACCGAAGGGGTCTAAACATGTATATATTCGAAGGGGGGTGAAGTTAAACTTAACAGAGTGTATATATTTATATAAAGGCACAACTAGGGTACAAATTCTGAGACGGGCTAGAGCCCACCTTACAAAACTATTTATTTAAAATAACCCGTAAGCGGGTATATAACTATCAATAATGTATATATTTTTTTTGGGGGGGGGGGCGCTAAATATTATTCAGGGGGGCTAAGCCCTAGATGTGCCACTGACTACTACTTACTAATTACTAACTACTAAGAAACTAAAATATGTATATTTATCATTTTTTATTGAAATGTTGTTATCTACGTAATTTCTGTAAACATAAATGAATAGTAAATATATGTGACAATAAGTGACTTAGGGCCGATTTCACCAACACAGTTAATTACGGTTAACGCTTAATCGGCTGATAACAGATATTTAACCGGCCGATTAAAACTCCGGTTAACGTTTATCGTGATTAACTGTGTTGGTGAAATCGGCCCTAAACCTGATGCTAATATAATAATAAGAGACAATTATGCACAAGACCATACCTGCTGATAACTGTTAAAGTAAGCTAAATAAAATACAATATTTATGGTATTTCAATAAAATAATGATAGTTAAATCTACGAAAACAAGGGGTGCTAAATTAGAACTCGGGTGTGCTAAAGACCCTTTTCACCCCCCCCCCTAGTTGAGTCAATGGTTATTGGTAGGTTTAAAGTTGGTATTTTAGTTCTGATAATATTTATAAAACAATAAAATGATCATAATTCATAATTATAGTATTAGAATACATTACTGCAGTGTAAAAAAATTGATAGCGTGTTTTCAAGATTCATATGATTTTTTCTAACGAAAAAATAATTATAATTTAGGTATTAAGAAATAGTTAGGTAGTAGTTATTACCTATTATATTTTATTTATTTAGAATAATATAATATTAATACATTTGATTTAATTAAAATTAATTTGACAGTTAATAACATTTTTAATTTATATAATTTTGTATTTATTTATTTATTTTCATTTGTTACAGGTATTGGCATTGGAGATTTTTTTTTTTTATTGGTCTAGAGCTCGGCAACTTTGGTCATTGGCTATTGTGGGGGGTTAACGGTACAGTTAGGCCATTGGATGGTTTTGGAGACTTTTATATTTGATAAAATTGGAAATAATGTAAAGAAGCTTTTGAAAAATTCTAAAAACATGACGTATGCGATTGGGACATTTTTTCAATTAGTGTAAAAAGCAGGTAAATATATTATCAATAGTTTGATGTTATGTATTAAAATTAACCACATTTTATTTATGTTTTTACAGAAATTGATAAATTTCCAATTATCAAAATAAGATGCAGAAAAACAGATGATAAATTCTTACAATCAGTACCTATTGCCTATTTTCAACACATTGTATACTATCATGTTGTTATATACTATAAAGCAGGGATAGCCAACCCGCGGCCCGCCTTGGAAAGTTTTGCGGCTGAATATTTACAAAAAAAAAAAATTATTTTTAATTTATAATAATAATTAATTTTGTTTATAATGTTTACTCCATTTTTTTTTGTATTAGGGCAAAATGCTTTTATAATTTTATATGTGGCCTAATTTTGAATAGTAAAATATTTGATTATATTAATATTTTTTACTGGCTGATGACCTTTTTTTTTTGCAACCCTATATGTGACCCGCAAGATCATTTGGGTTGGCCATCCCTGCTGTAAAGAGTGATTCACCAAGCTGACACTACTTTTTTTCTTCAATAATGCATTTATTAAAAATCTAACGTTTAGAATTGTATGAAATATCCTGTGGATATAAAAACAACTTCTAGTGTTCAAATGAGAATCGCACTTTTCTGCTATAAATTTTGTTACTATAATTTTACTGAAAAATATGACTTATCAAAATCATAATTTTCAAACGAGTAGTTTATGAGTTATTTAATAAATTCATTATTAAACGAAAAAATTGGGTTGAGCATGTTTGGGGATTCACCCCTGTATAATTGTGGTTAATGGTATATTAATAATGTATGAAATAAACAAAATTGAATTAACGTGTGTGACATAATTCAATTAAATGATTATATCCTACCTTTAGTAAACTATTATAAAATAATACAAATATAATTTACAAAATAATATAACAAATATAATATAATACTAATAATAAAATATTTATATCAATGACAACCAATTATTCAGGCATACTCAATGAATTTATTCTTTGTTAATTTGGGTTGGTCCTTATCTTTTTAGTATAAAAACTGTTAAGTTCTTTAATGTGCTACTAATGACTTAATCTTAATATCTAATCAATCCATTGAACATTCTCCTATTCAGTACTTTTTGAGAAATCATTTTTTCATTCATGGTTTTTAAACCAGATTAATTGATATTGGTTTTGGTCGTTTTGGATTTATATTAAAATTGAATTTAAAGATTACATTTTCACCATTTATAAGTTCAGTACATTGTTTTATTTAAAAATTTGACATTTTCATTATTTCTATGATTTTAAATGTTTACAAGGTTATTTATATGTATTCGTCATTCTATTTACAACTAAAAAATCTCTAAAATAATTCATTTTTTTAATATGTGCTATTACAAAATTGAAAAACAAGAATTTGTTTTTTTAATAAAACTTTCATTTTTCCTTTTGAGATCTTAAAATGTTATTTAATGTTTATCAATATTATCATAATAATATGCTAACCATATTAATTTTAAAAATGAAATATTACACATACTGATACATTGAATATTTTTTTACCATATTTTTTTATTAAAAATGTGAGTTATTTTAGAAATAGTGAAAACAAAACTATAAAAGACTATTCCTATTACACATTTAATTAAAATAAATAGTAAGAAAAAAGAATATTAACATAGTAGTAGATAAGTCAAGTTCTCAATTTTGCTATGATAAAAACAAATTAATTTCTTATACAAAAAAATTATTTTGAAGACTTTTTAGTTATGCTAAGAACAACAAATAGTTAAAATTGTATTCAAATTCTTGGTCTTTTAAGTAACAGTAATATGCATTTTTGTTTTAAAGAATTTAATTGGCAAAGTATTGTACTGAAATAAATGAATATCTAAGTATAAAAATGTACTGGTTTTATAATTTTGTAAAAAAAAAAAAAATAGAATAATATGAACAACTTCAAAGGAGGCCTTCCATTTCTTGCATAAATTGCATGTATGCATCATCTTTAGTTTGTTGCCCAGCTTGTTGGTTACTGGCAGCAATATTAGATTTATATTCTGCAGCTTTATGTTGTTCCCATGCATTATCTCGCTTGTTTGGTCTACCATCATCTCTTTTCACTCTGATGGATGTAGGCAAGAATCGTGTGATATCAGCAGCGAGATTTCTATTACAAATAATATAATTCACAGCATAAATGAGATAGTATAGAATAAATATACAATTTTAAATATACCTCATTTTTGGTTTTGCTTCAATTGTAGACCCAGTATTGTGTTGCGCTTCGTCGCGATTAATAAGTTGTGGTTCGGCACTCACAATATTTGGTGTCACAGCAGCAGTGGCAGAGGTAGCTGCTGCAGTTGTATTCATATTGTTATGCATACCAGAGTTATACCTCATCATTCTTGGCGGCATTCCAGGAGGGGGTCCAGGGGGTAATCGGACATGCATACGTGGTGGTAAACCAGGCGGAGGTCCAGGAGGTAACATTGGTGGTCGACCAGGAGGTGGACCTGGAGGCATTCTACCAGCAGGTCCACGATATGGCATAGGAGGAGGAACACCCACTGGTAAACCTTTATAAATAATTATTTTAAAAACAGTTAAATATTGAGTTTTAATTAAATAATTTAATATTGCATATTTATCATACTTGGTGGTAATCCTGGAGGTAAGCGTCCTGATGGAGCAGGTAATGGTAAAGGAATTTCATTAGACTCTTCATGTTTTCCTGTTGAACTCCTCTTTTGAACTTCATCAATCTAATAATAAGTTAAATTGTTTAACTAGTAAAGGTTAAATAAAATGTATTTAGTAACTTCTATCTAGTTACTCCGTACCTCTCTCATGAACATCTCTATATCATCAGTGGTTTTATTTTCTTTACCAGAATCCTCTGGTTCAGCAAATCTTAATGTGCGGGAACGTTTTGGAGCTAAGTAAAAAAAAATTAAAATATGATACTAAAAATAAAAATATATTTGATTATATCATCAACTAACCAGTTTCTCCATCACTTGAATCATCTTCATAATCATCATCATCCTTTTCTTCGTCTGTTAATATAGGTGGTACACCAGGAGGTACACCCGGTGGTCGTTTTTTAGTACCTGATACTGGTGACATTGGTGGACTACTAAAAATTACAATACTTTGCTTGTAAGTTTTAATACAAAAGCACCATATAAATAGTGCATAATATAAATAGGTAATTACTAACGTGTATAATGGGGGCTTTTTCAATATTCCTAATGGTAATTCATTAGAATTATATCCTGTATCTGAAGCAGGTAATGGAATATTTGATGTCATAACAGGTAGTGGAATTTCATCAACTGATACTTGTTGAGCTGTTTTTACTGCATCAAAATATGATATTAGCTTGAAACGACGTTTCTCGTATTCCGATTCTGCTCGTTTGATTTCATGATATTTATCAAGTTCATCTTTTACCTAAAAATAGTTAATATTTAGTATCTGAAAATCTTTTATAATAAATAAT